CGGCTATGCAGATATATAAATATATGCTGACATTCCTAAATCAGTAATAACAATGCAATTTTGGTCATCAAACATCACTGGTCAGCAGTTAGTCTCATTTTTGGTCTCAATGAACTTTTAAAATGCAGTGTTATAATCAGTCAATATTTACTGAGAGACTACTATGTTGCTAGCTGCTGTTACTCACGTTTAATAAACCAATCATTCACAGGAGTCCTCACAATTAATTCTTAAAGAACAAGTAACCTATTCTACATAAAAAGCTTTTTTTTTACCCATCTCACATGATAAAAGTGGCCTCACTCCTTACAAGGATAACTCCTGTACTTGTTTAAGCAATCCTATTCCATTCCAACTCCACCAACAGATTGCCTCCTCTCATCCCAACCCACTTAATCATTTATTTTCAACCTCTCCTTACTGCCTATAAATATGCCCATGTCTCCCTCATCCTCAAAAAACCTCTAATGAGCCTACTATCTCCAAATGTTTTATATCTCTTCTACCCTTTATGGCTAACCTCTTTGAAAAGGCTGTCTAAATCAAAGCTATCTATAGTGACATAAAAATGCTTTAAATCACTATTGACTTGAGAAATGCAAATTAAATACTCTGAGATACCTTCTCATACCCACCAGACTGACTAACATGACAGAAAAGGAAAATGACAAATGCTGGAGAGGATGTGGAAAAATTGGGACACTGATACACTGTTGGTGGAGTTGTGAACTGATCAAATCATTCTGAAGAACAATCTGGAACTATGCCCCTTTGGCCCAGCAATAGCACTACTATCCCAAAGAGATCAAAGAAAAAGGAAAAGAATTTATAAGAAGAAAAATATAGCAGCACTTTTTGTGATGGCAAAGAATTGGAAATTGAGGGGATGTGCATCAATTGTGAAAAGGGTGAACAAGCTGTGGCATACGACTGTGATGGAATGCTACTGTGCTATAAGAAATGACAAGGGGGTAGTTTCAGAAAAATCTGCGAAGACTTATATAAACTCATAGCAAACTGAAGTGAGTAGAATCAGGAGACAATATACACAGTAATAGCAATATTGTACAATGATCAACTAGCTTTTCTGATCAATATAACGACCCAAGCCAATTCTGAAAGATTAATACTGAAATATGCTACCCACCTCCAAAAACAACTGATAAGAGTCTGAGTGCAGACTGAACTGTTACAATTTTTTCACTTTATTTTTTTTCCTCAAAACATGGGTAATGGGGAAATGTTTTGCATTTCACATGTGAAATTGATTTAACGTTTCTTGTCTTCTTAATGGGTGGGGGTGGGGCAGGAAGGAGAGAATTTAGAACTTAATACTGGAATTTAGAAATTAATATTGGAACTTTTTTAAATGCCAAAAAATTAATAAGTTCCAGGGATTAAAAAAAGGCTATCTAATCCGTAATAGATACTTCCATTTTCTCTCCTCTTACTCTCTCCTTAACCCTTTACAATTCAGCTTCTGACCTCATCATTCCACCAAAAAGATCTCTCCAAGTTACCAATGATCTCTTAATTCACAAATCCAATGACTTTTTCTATATTCTCATTCTCAATTTCTCTTCAACCTCTGACACTATTGATCATCCTCTTTTCCTTGACGCTCTCTTCTCTCTAGGTTTTTGGGACAATAGGTTCTCCTGATTCTCCTCCTACCTGTCTGATGCCTCTTTCTCAAGTCTCCTTTGCTGGATCCTCATCCAGCCAGACCTTGCCCTCTAACAGTAATTGAGAGTTCTGTTCTGGGCCGTATTATATTCTCTCTTCATACTTTATACCAGGGGTGGGGAATCTTTGGCCTTGAACCTACATGTGGCCTTCTAGGTCCTTGAGTGTGGCCTTTTGATTGAGTCCAAGTTTCACAGAACAAATACTTTTAAGGGATTTGTTCTGTGAACTTTTCTACTCCAACACTGACACCATTCTGGTGCAGGCCTTATCATTCACACTTAGACTACTTCAAAAGCTGGGGGGCTGCCCTGCCTGCCTCAAATCTCTCCGGACTCCAATCCATCCTCCATTCACCCACCAAAGTTATTTTCCTAAAGTGCAGGTCTCACCCTGTCAAGCTGCTAACTCCGGTGGCTCCCTACTGCCTCCAGGATCAAACAAAAAGCTGTTTGGCCTTCAAAGCCCTTCATAACCTAGTCCCCTCCTGCCTTTCCAATCTTCTTACACCTTAATCCCTGACACACATTCTTTAATCCAGTGATACTGGCTTCCTGGCTGTATCATAAAAAAAGATCCACCATTTTCTCTAGCTGTCCCCCATGCCTGAAATGCTCCTCATCTTATACTAGCTTCCTTCAAGTCCCAACTAAAATCCCATCTTCTACAGGGAACCTTCCCAAACCTCTGTTAATTAATTCTAGTAACCTTCCCTCTTTTAATTATCTACTTATTTTACATACAGGTTATTTGAACATTATTTTGTTTGCTTACTGTCTCCCACATTGACTGTGAGTCCTGAAGGTTAGGGACTGTCTTTTGCCCTTTTTGTATCCCCAGCACTTAACACAGTGCCTGGCACATAGCAGGCATTTAACCTCAAAGACTCTGACAATTTGTAAAACAGGAAACAGTAATACTTCACAGGCTTATTTTAAGGATCAAGAAACATAACATAGGTAAAGCACATTGGAAAATATTAAAGCACAATGAAAATGCCAATTATAATTAAAAAGTGACCTTTAAAAGTTGACGGAAAGTTAATTTCTGACTTACTAATCTCTTATTTTTATTGCATCCTGTATCTTCTTTCTTATTATGTCTTAATGAAAACACCAATGATCGAAAGTTTGCAAATCCTCACATATCTCAAGTAAACTATATTCAAAAACTGAATTGCTATTCTTGCATTTTTCTTTCCCCAGCTGCAGTATCAGAAACCTGACAAAACTAGACAATCACGAAAATGTACAGAGGAAAAAGGTATACAAATATTTTAGTTTCTCTTTCACTACTAAAAGTTAATCCATACCCACTCTGGATAAAAAAATTAATTAAATACTAAGCTAAAAGCATAAACATGTCTTGGTTGTGTGGTAAGATGACAAAATGTGTTACAAAATCTCAGAACGAATAGATTTTTAAATACTGATTATTTTAACTCCAGATGTTCATATTTCACAAATATTTATTGTGGTAAATAAATTCATTTAAATTCCCCATTAGGGCTAAAGAATAACTTCCACCTAAATAGGCATATTCAACTAGTGAGTCAGTAAAACAAATTTTCAAAGAACTGCCTATTGGCCTCTTTACCATATTTATAAATTTAAAAATTCGAAGACTACCATCTATTATTCACATGGACTTATTGGTCTCCGTATACATTTACTCACAGATGGTATTAGTAATAATTATCTATTGGAAACTTTCGGAAGTTTTGGGATAATGAAACATGCCACTGCTTTCCTTTGAATGTCCTGCTGATATAAAGATGCTTGGCATACCCAGTCAGTCAATTGTAAGAATTAAAAATGTGAGCCTGTATAGTGATATTTTAGAAATCAATGTACTTAAGCAAACAAAACTTTAATAATTTTTAGGCTTGTCTGCATCTAAAACAGTAAAAAATCTAGTAACTGCATATTTACTTTTCATTATTTCTCAAAATTACAGTGCACACAGAGGCCAACATAGGCATCAGCATTTAACGCAACTATATTTTTCTCAAAGTACATTTTTTAAAATGGAAAATGATCATCACCTTTCAGCTCACTGGTACATTTTTAGCAGAATACTGGAAAGGTTAACCTTTTAGGACAAGTCCACTAATTTAAGCATCAGGGTTTGGGTTTTTTTATCATTGAGATTAAACTTGTTAACGATACAGCATACAAGTACGAACAAATCCTTTATGAAATCACAACTTGACAAAAGTAAGAACCCGTCACTTGCTGAAGCTTATAATGTTGTACTAGGCCTCAAATCAAGAGATGAGTAGGGAGCCAGAAAGAGAGCTTATTCCCTAGCATGGCACCCAAAGAAATTTTTCCCCTTCCTGCCAAAAAGTGAGACAACAAGGAAGTCATCAGTGTAGCTCAGCTTTCCTGAGATTAACCTAGGTAGGGCACAAAAACAAATCCTTGCCTCACACATCAACACAAACACACAGGATACCAATTAAAACATCCTTTAACTCTTAAGACGAAGGTGACTTTCAGGCCAAGTGTCCAATAAAATGCTGAGTGTAAACAAGTCAGTCATCCTAAAAAGTTTCTAGGACACATGAAACAGGAGCAAATAGCACTAATAAGTCTCTGCCCCCAATCCAACAAAAAGTCAACAGAAATGGGCTTCACACATTTACAAAATTACACCAGGTTGGACACAGGTTTGAAGAAAACAATATCCACAAAAGAGAGAATCAGAACCACAAAATTAAAAGAAATGGATTCTTCATATTACGGGCAGAAGAATTTTGGTGCATTTCTTTTTTCCCCACTGATGTAGCTTTAACAGGATTTTTGTTTCAGGACCCCTGATTTAATCTTCAGTGTGGGGAAATCCTAAAGTAGAAACTCTTCCCCGTTCAGGAAAGGAAGCCCCACCAACACACAACTAACAATCCAAAGGAAGCTGGCTACGGCAATGAAGAGTTAAGTCTCTGGCTCTGGACCACACAACCCAGAGGTATCAACAGTAGTATTTAAACCAACTCTTCCCTTGACTCCTAGGACAGCCCTTGGGTCCACTTATGCCAAGTTGCTCTAGCAGTCTAACCTAAAATAAATGGGACACGATGTAGTGACCAGCTCCTATAAGAAAGAATTAGAAACATTACAGAAGACACCTAAAATCAATTATGAAACTCAGACGTGCTTCACAGGTAAGTAACAATTTTTAAAAGCTGGAATAAAGTGAGTGCATTTAAGCGTTTAACTTTCTGAATGTTTAGTTTCTAATTCTCCAACCCTAACTCAAAAATAAGTTTCAAGTCCATTCCTTTTTATCAATTAAAAAAATTTTTAACTCACATTGTCTCCCCCCGTTTTGGCTACGTGACAAAGAAACTGATCCAGCACTGGACAAACTTCCTTTTTCCCCCTCTTCTCAAAATCTGCGCAGGGGATTTAAAAAGAAAAGTTAAAAGTACGTACACCTTAAAAAGTAAGCAGTATTTTTTCCCTTTAATCATCACAAGCTATGACCCCGTCCACCCCACCACCACCCCCCAACTCCCCCTTCAAATCAGAAACTTTTCCCCAAGTCCCTCCCACTGTCATTCAAAAGAAGCAAAAAAAACCCACGGCCGAGCAAACCTCCAGGACGACTTCCACGGCTCTAGGGAGGGACCCCCGGGGTGCCACCCCACCCTGTCCAGGGGCGCTGGGGGGCCCTCCCCCTCTCCCTAGCAACCCGATTTCACAGCCTGTGGCTTGGAACGTGAGAACCCCATGGCTGCAGTGACACCGCCCGGGCCGGGGCAAGGGCAGAACTCTCCAGGTGCCGGGCCGTCCGAAAAGTTCACGGCGGCCGGTCTACAAGGAGGTCAACAAGTGGGGGGCGGGGGCCGGCTCCGGTTTCCCTTTTTTTCCTTCTTCCTCCTCCCCCCATCCTGGGTTTCGGGGGGGAAGGGAAGGAGACTTGGTCCAGCCCCGACCGCTCCTGACACAAAGCCCCCGGCGGGCGGGGCGGGGCTGCCCCCGGGGCCCGGGGCCCGGCGGGGGAGGGGAGGGTCGGCGCCGGGGGCCCCCCCCGGCCCCCACCTTTGAGCGCCTCCTGCAGCCTCTCCATGTCCATGGTGGCCAGCGTCTCTCGCCACCGCCGTCGCCGCCTCCCTCCGCGGTGTCCCGAGTCCCCGGGCCCGGAACGCCGCCGCCCCCCCGCCGCCCTCACACGCGCGCCCCCACGCAGGCCGCACACACGCAGGCACACGCGCGCACACTCGCGCCGTCCCGGCCCCCTCTCTCTCACGCACACACACGCGCGCACACTCGCCCTCACACTCACGCCCTCCAACACCCACACCCACACACGCGCGCGCACACCCGTACACACACACGCACGCACACGCACACACACACACACACCACACACACACACACACACACACACACACGGAGGCGACAGTGGCACCGGCGGCGAGAGAGGCGAGCGAGCGACAGAGCACCTCCCGAGCGCCCACAATCAGCTCCCCAACATGGCGCCCGGCACGTCACCGCGCGCACGCTCCCCGGGCCGCCGTCCTCGCCCCCGCCGCCGCCCGGCGCGGGCCCGCGCCCCGGCGCGCCCCCACAGGCTCTGGGCGGGGCCAGGGCCCCGGGGCGGCCGGAAGCGCACCTGGGAGGTGGGGCCGAGGGCGGGGCCTCTGCGCCGACGCCCCGCCCCCCAGCCCGGAGCGAGGCTGCGAGCGCGGCTGCAGCTAGGCCCGTATTGCGGGGGCGCCTGTGTCCGCGCTCTGCCGGGACACCCGGGGAAACTGAGTCCCGGGAGGGAACCACGGCTCGAAGAGTACCGGTTCTGGGGGCAGAGATTCTGGGTTCAAATCCCACCTCCGATCCATTCGACTGTGCGTTCCTCGAGGGCAGAAGCTGTCTTTTAGTGTAGTACTGTGCCTGGCACGTAGTAGGTGCTTAATAAATGCTGACTGATGGATCAGTTGATTGATGCCTAACCACCGTTGTGACCCTGCACCAATCACGTGACCTTTCTTGCCACAGTTTCCCCATCCATCCAATCAGGGGATTTTGGGACTAGCTCTATCATTCATCCATTCATTCATTCAGTAAACATTTATTAAGTGCCTATTGTGTGCCATCATAGAGTCACAGATGTAGAGCTAAAGGGGCCTTGAGAGTCCAAGCCTCCCAGATGAGCGAACTGCCTTCAGGTGAGCACCCGCGTTCAAATCTCACCGCTGACATTTAACACCTGTGTGACCCCGGGTTCCTCACTCCATCCTCCTGGGCCTCAGTTTCCTCATCTGCCAAATGACTGGGTTGGACCAGATGGCTTCCTTCTAGTCTAGGTGTCCCTAATTCTATGAGCTGGAGCTGGGAGTGACACTGGAAACGATCTGGTCCAGCTCCCTGATTCGAGAGATGGAAGGCACCTCAGAAGGAAACCTGATGTTTGAACCCCTTCCATGAGAACAAAGAGGGAGCCAGAAATAATAATACCTCACTTGGTATTGGTAGGTCTGCAAAGCACTTTACTTAGCCTGTCTTTTTGTATCCTTTCTCTGAGCAGGGGAGGTAAGTACTATGATTATTCCCATTTGGCTCAGAGAGGATAAGAAACTTGCCTGGGCAAGTCACTTAACCCCTCTGTGCCTCAGTTTCCTCAACTGTAAAATGGAGGTCACAGAAGCACCTACTTCCTAGGATCGTTGTGAGGATCAAATAAGATAATACGGATAAAAAAGTGCTTAGCACAATACCTGGTACGTAGTAAATGCTACAAAAGTGTTCCTGCCCTCAATGGGCTCACATTTGAAAACTAGGAGATAAAACACATTGAAAGAAGTTAGAGATAACTGTGTCCTTCCTCTGCTGGTGGCTTGTCCTCTAACCCTGGAATCCCCTTCCATTTATTGAACTATTTCTACAACCCCTGAAGGAGACAAGAAACTCATGATAGCTAGAAGGCAGGGAAAGCCATAACCAAAGGGGGGATAATCACCAATAACCAACTGGAGCTGAACCTTGAAGAAATCAAAGGATCCTAAAAGAAAAGACAGTGTATTCCAGGCACCCAGATGCAGTCTGTGCAAATGCATAGAGGTGGTAGATGGATTGCAGGCCACTTTGGCTGGATTCTCTGAGTCATATCAATAGATATTTTAATACTTGGTGACTTCGATGGGAACAACAGGTAAGCCAGTGTGGCTGGAACATGGCATGTGTGTGAAGGATGATACTGTGAAAGAATCCTAGAAACATAGGCAGGAGCCCGGTTTCAAACTCGTTTATTCAATCCACATTCACTGAGTGCCCACTCTTTGCCCAGTGCCTATGTTGTTTCCTAAGCCAATCTTTTGGGGCTATTTTTGGGGGGGGGGGGCTCGGCAATGGGGTTAGGTGACTTGCCCAGGGTCACACAGCTAGTAAGTGTTATGTGTCTGAGGCCAGATTTGATCTCAGGTCCTCCTGAGTCCAGGGCCAGTGCTCTATCCACTGTGCCACCTAGCTGCCCCCCCCCCGAGCCAATCTTCAGGACTCATGATGACAAAGGATGGATACCTTTTTGCTGTTGTTCCTCCGTTCTTGAAGCCGATCTATGACATCAGGAGGGTGATGTGTTGACTTGCAAGTGAATTGGATTTGAGTGAGGCCTCTCAAAAGTATGTTTTCTTCAAATCCGACTATGTCAGAAATTCAGGGAAATATGATTCCAAACCACTGGGGCTAGGCACTCAGGGGGTTAATAGATGATGAAGACAAAGCTCTTCCACACAAGGACTTTATAATGGTTTAATAAGATAACTGAGACATGTGACAGAAATTAAAATGATACAATAATAGCTAACATTTATATAGCAGCTGCTGTGTGCCAGGCTGCACACTTTTTACAAATATCATCTCATTTGATCCTCACAACAGCTCTAAGAGGTAGGTGCTATTATTATCCTCATTTTGCAGATAAAGAAACTGAGGCTGACAGAGGTTAAGTGACTTGCCTAGGGCCACATTCCTAATGCTTATCTCAGGCTGCATTTGAAATCAAGATCATGGATCTTGATTTCCCTCCACTGAAGTCTTCTTCCAAAGATTCATCTTGGTGTGGGTCCACACTCAACCTCATCAACATGGCCACTGGGAGGAGGCATGGTATAGCTCAGTCCCTTATGCTGATACATCATAATATGGCAGAGGCCGAGAACACACATCTGCCCCAGACCTCTGATCACAGCCAATGCACCTTGTCTTTTCCTGAAGGAAATCTTCTAGGGCCACAGACTTCCTTTTCACATAGCCAAGTATCAGAGGCTTCCAGCTGGTTTCCAACGTTTGTACTACACCAATATTCCTTAGAAAGGTAAAGCTTTATCTGAAACCCCACTCGGTCCAATAGGCATATAGAACACACAAACCACACCATAGAAGAGTCTCTTCAATGCTATAATTCCAACCATCAATTATTTTATGAGAATTTATTGAGCTCCTACTATGTGGCAGGGACTGTACTAGGTACTAGGAATATAAAGACAAAAATGAAAGGATCCCTGCCCACAAGTTGCTTGCATTCTTTCTGGGAAAACAATGCTATAAACAAAACATAAGCAAAATAAATACAAGGTAATTTGGGGAGGGGAGTGGTAAGGAATGGGGGGGAGAGAAATTCAGGATAATCGAGAAGTCTTCACCTAATGCCTACACTAGAATTTTTACCCAAACTGAAAAGGCTAACCTTTGATTTTTTCATTACCCCTCCACAAAGTATTTCTCACTCTCAATGACGACCTTGATGATTTCCCAGACTAACTTGCAAGTACACTATAAGTGAGCAACGCCTTGTACAAATAGGGGACCAATTTCCATCATACCCCCCACCCAACCAGGGAGCACATGACAATAGGGAAAGCTGTTGGATAATAGGATTTAGAGCTGGAAGGGACCCCTGAGATAATCTAGTCTATAGTCTCTCCTACTACCCCCTTTTTTTGCAGATGAAAAAACTGAGTCTCAGAGAGGTGAAGTAATTTGCCCAAAGTCACACGGAGAGTACATAGCACGGTCAGAATTTGAACCTAGGGCCTCTTTTTCTTTTTCTACTACACCAATGACTACATTTCAAAATCCTCTAGTAACCAGTAGACCTTCCCGGAAATTGTGAAATACGGTAATATGGTAACAACAGGCAGGTAGGTGGTACAGTGAATAGAGTGTCAGTCCTGAGTCAGGAAGACTCATCTTCTTGAGTTCAAACCTGGCCTTAGACACTTACTAGCTGTGTGCCCCTGGCAAGCCATACCAGTATCTTTGCCAAGAAAACTCCAAATGCGGTTACTAAGTCTCAGATACAACTGAAAAAAATGACTGAACAAAATGGTACCAACACTGGCATTCAAGAAATTAGTATTAAAGACATAATAAATTAAGGTAAATGCAATGTCTAGGCCAGTTGCGTCAAATGATGCTTAACACATGAATAGCCCAAAAGTTGCTGATGGTATCCCCAAAACATCCAAATGCCCAGAAGAAAGCCTCTAGCACATTGAGTAGATCCTACATGGATGATTTATTGAAGGGTATGGAAAAGAATCGAAAAAAATTGAGGATATTAAAAGGTTCATGGATGAGATCCTGAATTTATTGAAACATAACTTATTTTGGCTTACATTTCTACTTCTGACACTTCCTTAGCCCCTCTTCAGCTCCATGATGGAGGAGTTTGTTTGGACAGTTGTCCAAGGACCAGTCAAGGACGGCCAATAAGCAATGAAATTTTTGGTCACAGTGTAGAGGAGACAGCCATGAACTATTCATTTCCTCTAGTTCTTGGAGCTGAGAGGACTTCTTCACCCATTAGAGATAATTTCCTAAACTATATATTTTAGAAGGCCCTTTATGAGCCCATCATATGCTGGTTATCTGTGATTGTGTACCTGGATGGGGGTGAAGAGCTCCAGTCTGGGAGCTTTAATTGTGAGGGAGTCTGGTGCACCCTCTCAAGATGCAATATCAGGAAAGATGGTGACTAGAGGATAGAGGTGGGCATAAAGTAGACTGAGGTTGGGCATCTCATGAAGACACTGATCTTGGCTGTGAAAAAGTCAACACTCTCTAGACTGTTTCACTGAGATGGGATGGGAGCCAATTAAGTAGAGCAACCTCCAACTCTCTCAACACTAGTGCCATGAGTGATTTGTGTTCTTCTCTTGCTTTGTTTGGGAGACCAGGGAATTAATGGGGAATGGATTGGTGCTGGAGACATT